CTAAGCTTTAATACACATTGTTTGGAGTCCAGAAGTCAGTGCAATCCTTCTTCCTAGCGGAAACCTCCCAAACCTGGTCTTTACCAGTAGGATTTCTACCAGCCTCCTGGCCTTCTGAGCTCTGACCAGAATCTTCCATATAGAACAACCCAAAGTGTTCCAGCTCTGCTCTTTCAGGCAACATTGCTGAACCTTTCCAAATTCTTCCCACAAGCCATGTCCAAAGGTGCATTTTTGGTCTTTTGTTTATTTGTTTTTTGGTACTAGGGATTAAACTCACAACCTCATGCTTACCAGGCAAAACTCTTGAGCTTCTGAGCTAAATCCCCTGCCCTTCCCAAAGGTTCTTGAACTACAGGGTCAGATATAGTCACAACAACAACCCCACTTCTCTGGTACCAAATTTTGTCAAAATCTCTCATTGCTATGACAAAACTATGACACCCAGGCTGGTCCGATGGCAGTGGGTTATCAGAACTTATTAACATTAGTGTCACTAAAGTTGGTATACCACCCCCCCACTGCTAAATTTGACTGGCTTAAAAAAAATATGACACCCAATATTAAGGATGGAAAGGTTTATTTAGTTCACAGTTTGAGGTTTCAGTCCATAGTCAGCTGGCTGCAAGGCAGGGTGGCATGGCAGAGGGGAAGCAGTTCATGGTAACAGCAAAAGCAGCAAGAACAAAAAGGGTGAAACAGCAAGCGTCTTTTGCTGCCTTATATTGTATGCCAGCTGTACCCTGTGGTTGAGTGTAGCAATCACATGGTCCCTGTGCCTTCTTGCACAGGCTCAGGATATTTACAAGGGGAGACCCTGGACCCCTGCTGAGTCTCTCTGTTAAATTTCTAAACTTCTCAAGTTGACACAGTGTATTAACCTTTACAGGGAGCTTAGTGACCTTATCTCTGCGGGTTTTCTTCATTGTCTGTAGGAATGCACTACAAAGATGACTAGAGCCACAGACCCCTGTTCAGGTAGCACTGGAGACACAGAGATATTATTATTATTATTATTATTATTGTTATTATTATTATTGTCTTTTTCGTTTTTATCGGTACCAGGGATAGATCTCACGACTGCCTGCTTTCAAGGCAGGCGCTTATGCCGCTGAGCTAAATCCCTAACCCCTGAAATAGGGTTTTGTTAGTGTAGTTCAGGCTGGTCTTGAACTCATTGTGTAGCCCAGGACGGCCTAGAACTCATAGTGATCCTCTTGCCTCAGCCTTCCTAGCATTGGGATTGTAGGCGTGTGCTACCTCACTTGGTCCTCCAGCTGTATCCTTTATTTTCCTCCTTTTTTTTTTTTTTTTTTTCTTTTGAAATGGGGTCTTGCTATGCAGTTCAGGCTAGCCTTGAGCTCACTTTGTAGCCCAGGCTGGTCTGGAACTTGCAACAATCCTTCCACCTCAGCCTCCCTCGAGTGCTGGGATTACAGGCATGAGCCACTACGCCCGGCTCTTTTCTCCCATTTTTTAATTATAATTTTTTTTTGAGATAGGGTCTCACAATGTAGTTTAGGCTGGCTTTAAACTCATTGTGAAAAAAAAATCACTAGGGCTGGGGATTTAGCTCAGTGGCATAAGCGCCTGCCTTGTAAGCAGGCAGTCATGAGTTCAATCCCTGGTACCGATAAAAACAAAAAAGACAAAAAAAAAAAAAATCACTTTATAGCTCAGGGTGACCTCAAACCCAGGGGCAATCCTCTTGCCTCAGCCTCCCTAGTGCTGGGATTACAAGCATGTGCTACCATGCCTCCCCAGCTATGAGAAAAATTTGTAACAAAATAATAAGAGAATAACAATAACAAGTACACTGTGTATCATTAACCTCAAAGTAGTTATTCAGAGACAAAAAAAAATTATTTCTTACAAAAAAAGAAACATGATAGCACAAAACTTTCTTTTCACGGGCTGGGGATTTAGCTCAGTGGCATAAGTGTCTGCCTTGCAAACAGGCAGTTGTGAGTTCGATCCTCAGTACCGATAAAAATGAAAAAAAAAACTTTCTTTTCAATGAGCTAAGAGAAACTAATAATATAAATTAAATGAATTAGCATGTATATTATTTTTGAAATATCAAAATAGGTAATTTAGGAAATTACTTGGGCTTCTTATTTATTTGTCTATTTTTCACTTTATTTGTACATATATGTTATATTCATATATTATATATCTTTTGAGTTTCCAATATAAACGAAATCATGTGATAGGTAATTTTATGTTTTTAACTTATTTTAATTATCATTATATTCTCAAGTTGCATCCATTTACTCCAGCCCTATTCTTATACAATTTTAGTAGATTCCATGTACATATCAAACTTGGGTGAATAGGTTATTTTTAAATGCTGGAATAGGGGGCTGGGGATTTAGCTCAGCGGCATAAGCGCCTTCCTTCCAAGCAGGCAGTCGTGAGTTCGATCCCTGGTACCGATAAAAACGAAAAAGACAAATAAATAAATAAATAAATAAATAAATGCTGGAATAAACAGTCTGTGGATATAACTCAGTGGCACAAGTGCCCGCCTGGCAAGTGCAAGGTCCTAAGTTTGATTCCTGGTTTAAAAAAAAAAATGCTGGGTATAACAAAATTAGCAATATATTCTGTTTTCTCTTACATTAATTTTCTTCCCAAAGCCTAATTGTCATAATTAGCCCCCAAACATGCACAGAGCCTGTTTTTGTTTTACTGTAGCAAGGATCCAAACCAGTCTTGGTCACTCATTCATGTAAACACTGTTCTTTTTTCTTTCTTTCTTTCTTTTTTTTTTTTTTGAGGCAGGGTCTCACTATGCAGTGTAGGTAGGCTGATCCTCAACTCACAATGATCCTCTTGTTTTAGTTTGCCAAATGCTGTGAATATAGGCATGTGCCACCACACCCAGGGACAGCCCTTTTTGAGACAAATTCTCCCTAGATTGCCCAAATTGGCCTTGAATTTGTGATCTTCCAATTTTAGCCTCCTGAGTAGCCGGGATTATAGGCATGTGTCACCACCTTTTGTTTTTTGTTTGTTTTGGTACCTGGAATTGAACTCTAGACCTTGTGCTTGCCAGGCAGGTGCTGTGCCTCTGAGCTCTACCCCTAGCCCATGTTTTTTTTTTTTTTTTTTTTTTTTTTCAGACAGTGCTTGCTATGTAGTTTTGGTTGGCCTTAAACTCACCACATAGCTAGTATTACAGGCATGTGCCACTATACCCTCCTACTATACCCAGCGTTTAGGAATGTAGGTTGATGCCATCTTCTCAGAGAGCAACTTGGCATTATCCACTGGGTTTCAAATGTGTACATCTTCTAAGTTCCAGGAATGGAATTTCAAGGAAATAATTCCATAGAAAGAATGCACAACTGTACATCTACACAAAATGTGCAATGATAGTTACGATAATTTAACATGTAATAGAAAACAACTGGAAACAATTTAAATATATAAATAAGAATATATTCATGTAATAGAACTTGTGTTCACCAATAGCTCAGGAAATCTTTGGTTAGGCAATGGACTGACATGGAAAAAGCAAGTTGTAGCACTATACAAGCAGAATGAACTGGCACCCCACCCTCTAAATGGCCAATTCTGGGGATCTGGCCTGGGTTCCACTCATGCTAGGCAAGTGCTTGATCACTGATTTACATCCCCAGATGTATTTTTGTTTTGTTTTGTTATTTGTTTTTTTTCTTTTTTTTTTTTTTTTTTTTGTCTTTTTCATTTTTATCGGTACCGGGGATCGAACTCACGACCGCCTGCTTGCAAGGCAGGTGCTTATGCCGGTGAGCTAAACCCCCAGCCCCTGTTATTTGTTTTTGTAGACAGGGTCTACAAAAGGCCCGGTAGCCTAGGCGGGCCTTTACCTCAAAGCTATCCTCTTGAGTACTGGACCTGTACCATTGTGCCCAGTGTTGTTTGTTTGTTTTTATTTTTGAGACAGGGTCTCCTTAAATCACTAAATTGCCCAGATTTCTACTTCTGCCTAAGTGTCCCAGTAATTATACTTGGTATTATAGGGATATGTCACATTGTCCCACTGGACCTAAGGAATTTTGCATTCATGGGAAGAAAAAAAAAAAAGGTAAATAAAAACACAGTAAAGGTAACAAAAACCAAATCTGAGAAACTAAATTTCTCAACATCTCAATCTCTCAACATTGAAGATTGGACCCTGGGCCTTCATTCACATTGAGCTACATCCTCAGTCTATTTTTTATTTTTTAGATAGAGTATTGCTAAATTGCCCAAGTTGGGCTACAATTTGGATCCTCCTGCCACAGTCTCTGAGAGTGCTGCTAAACCCATTTTATGACAGTTGTAGGACAGTAAGAAGCTCTAGGCCAGGAAATAAATCTGGTAATGCAATGTAGATTTCTCTTTAACAGCAGAGTAAGAGCAGAGAATTCGGTATTTTAGGAATAAATTTGAAGCTGGGTGCAGTGGTACACTCCATGATTACTCCTGTAATCCAAATATTTTAAGAGACTGAAGTAGGAGGATCGCAAATTCAAGTCCTGCCTGGACAATTTAGCGAGACCTCCAAAAAAGGGGATGGGGTGTGACTTAGATTCCCTAGGTTCTGTGTGGAGGGGCAGTGTTCAATGGTTGCGCACTAAGGACTTGGCGCCCAGGGTGCGGTGTCCACTAGGGGATGGTGTTTCAACAGAGGCCTACTTGGATAAAGGTGAAGGAAGTGCACAGCAGTCAGAATGTAAGATAAAAAGAGCGTTCCAAAGGTTGGGTATATTAGCGAAAAGAACAATACACAAATACTCTCTCCTTATTACTTCGCGCTTGCGATCTTGGTCTCCTCGAATAACACCGCACTAAGCACAGCCCTATGTCTAGCGCTAGTGACGCCAGGCCTGGGCACACACCGACAACTACTCCCGGGAACTCTGGTGTTGCGGGGGGGTGGGGGCCGGCGCAGGCTGTGGGTCTTGCCGCAGGGCCTTCTGGGATTTGTAGTTTCGCAGTGGCCTTCGGGAGTTGTAGTTCCTTTCCCACAATCTGCCGGGCGAGGCAGCGCCGGCGGACAGAGCTGCCTGGGTGTTCAGGGGCCAAGATGGCGGCGCGCCGGGGACGGAGAGACAGAGTCGTGCCGCCTGCGAGTGGCGGCTCTGGGCCCGATCCCGGCGGTGGAGTTCGCGGCAGCAGCTGGGGAAGTCGGAGCCAAACGCCCTATGGAACCGTGGGCGCCATGAGCGGAGGGGAGCAGGTGAGAGCCTGGCGGGCGGCCCGCGGCTGGCAGCTGAGCGGCGTGCGCCGGGCGGTGACACGTGGACGCCGCGGGAGAAGGAGGAAGCGCTCCACAGTCTGTGCCGGCTGGCCGCGGGAATCGGGCTGGAGGAGCAGACCTGAGCCGCGTATTCGGGTCGAGCGGCGAAGGCAGGGTGCGCGCTGGGATTTTCTGGGAACACCGCGGGGCAGAGCTGGGCACGGAAATAGGGCCTGCAACTGGGGGAGGCGGTCAGGGGTTCGATGGAGATGTCGAAGGCTGGGATCTCCTCCTAAGGATACCTAGGAGAGCTCCACCAGCCCGGCACTGCAGTTCTCTTTTCGGAGCACGTGGGGTGGGGGGAGCGATTTTCCCGGGAGAACTTGTCTGGCTCCCCTCCCCCTCTAGGCGCCCGGCATCCACGTGGGTTGAGCTGGGGGGGCAGGGCCGCGGGTCCACGTGGGAGCGGGGAGGGGATGTCCACGTGGCTCCCAGTCCCGGGATGCCGGTCTTTTAAGTGTCCACCCCTGAGACGCACTGCCGAGACCTGGGTGTGTCCCAGCGATCCCGCCATCCGCGATCAGGGCTGGGAACCCCAGACCTCGGAAGAAGGTTAGGGCTGCTAGAGTCCACTTTGCCCAGGGCCTTAAAGTTTTTCCGTTTTTCGTGGATCTCAGTGCTTTTGGATAGCGAGTGGTGGACTTCCCAGATGTTTGGGCGTCTCTGCAGATGGCAGAGGGGTGAGGCTGAAGGACTGTGGAGTGAGCTTGTGGCAGCTTCTGTCTGATCAGCTCGGGGTGGGTTGTGAGTCACTGGTACAGGCATTTTGATTGTCTGCAGTCTTCTTGCCTCATTCGTGATTCAGGGGGCATAGGGAGTGTCAGCATATAGCTGGGACAAGTTTAAAGAGAAAACCTTTTCCCCAAACTTCTTTTTTCTAGCATCTCTGCAATGAAGTGACACAAGAAACTAGGGTGGTGTGTATTTAAGGTTTTCTGGGATTTTTGTTGGGGATGGAAAAAGTTGGGAGGCAGTTTAAGAACCATTCAGTACTTTATTGGATCAGAGAATTTTGGTGAGATTTGTTTTTTCTTTGGACTTTTCTGTGCTTAAAAAGTTTTAGTCCCACTTTTCAACGGGGGGGGGGGTGTCTTAAGAGTTCCCACCCAGGGTGGCAATGGGCGTGGGCAGGAATTAGTTTGAATTGTTATCTCTCTTTGCAATTAAGCTGAGTCCTTGACAGTGTCCTATTCCCCCACCCCTGTAGGCTGCCTGGTAGTATCAGGTCCAGCAGACCATCTAGGTCTGTGTCCAAGAGAGAATGACTTCTGGGCCATGAATCTGGAAACAACTCACTTTTTCTTCTCCATCTTTCAGAAGTTACATCTTTTTTTTTTTTTTTTTAATTTTTTTTTTTTTTTTTTTTGTCTTTTTCGTTTTTATCGGTACCAGGGATCGAACTCACGACTGCCTGCTTGCAAGGCAGGCACTTGTGCCGCTGAGCTGAATCCCCAGCCCCAAGAAGTTACATCTTTTGAGGCTTGTGCTGCCTACACTCTGGGGAAGAGGCATGAGGGATCCAGGATCTAGTTGCAGTACAAATTAGGTGGTCATGTGGGGTTGGACAAAGTGTCAGGAAGAGATCCTTTTGCCTCTTAAAAAAGGTATGTGTGAGCTAGTCAAACAGCTAGGAACTGAGATTGCCATACATGGCAAACCACACAAACGTTCCTGTCCTCCAGCATCTTTTTTTGTGTGTGTGAGATAAGGTCACACTTCAGGCTGACCTTAAACTCACAGCAATTCTTGCCTCAGTTTCCTGAGTGCTGGGATTGGAGGCATGCTGGGATTACAGGGTGTGCCACAAGACAAAAGGAAAGTGCAGGATATTTGGGATTATTTAGCAGCCCACTAACATTGTAGTGGGCTTTGAGAAAGGATATTTAAGGCTGAGATCCTATGTGTTTGCAAAACTTTCAGAGTGAATTGTGTAAAGGCCTTGAGAGGGGAGAGAAAACAGCTTATTGGAGGAACTGAGGCCTGTGTGGCAGAGGAGTAGGAGAAGACAGACTGAACAGAAGTGTACTGGGAAAGACCAAGATCCCTGTAAACCATAGTGAAGAGTTTAAATCTTAATAAAAGCTGTAAGATGGCATTAAAGAGATTTATGGAGGGTCTCAGGAAGTGATGATTTATGCATTTAAAAAGTTCCTTCTGGAAGTGGGGTGTGGTGGTGCATGCAAAAATAAATAATCAAATAAAATTTTCTGGCTAGTTTTGCAACCTGAAGGGACAAGATTGGTGTGGAAAAGCCAGTTGGGAGGTTGCTAAGTTAGAGATACTGGTGGCTGGCCCACTTTTAGCTCTTGGGTTGATCCTTTGGGTACCATGCAGTTGGAGAATGTGTTGGGCAGACGTGTGACTGACTGTGGCTCTGGGACCTTCCTGGTGGAGGTGGAGATGGTTTGTAGAGCGAGACATGTTTTGAGATTCTGGCCTGGTGACAGGGCTCTGGTAGGAAGGTGGTGGGACAAGTAGAGATGCAGCTCCTTGCTCAGTGGGACTGTTTGCTGAGCCAGGTGATACTCAGCTGGAGGTTATAATTACAGGATAGTGAAGGTCTGGGAGGGGTTAGTTCCTAAAACCTGCCTTTCATCTTGGCCTGGCCTTCTGTGTCCTAACCAACCTTTCCTCTCCCTGGGTCCTGACCCAGGACTAGGGATTCAATTTAGGGTCTTGGTGCTGAACTACATCATAGCACCCTTTTTTGGAGCTGTTCTGGGGACTGAATGCAGGGCCTTTGCACTAAGCTACATCTCTTTTTATATTTTGAGCTACCTGAACTGAATTTGAATTTGAAATCCTCCTGCCTCAAGCTCAGGATGCTGGAGCTCCTCAGCTGTTTAAGGAGAGTGTATGTGGGAAGGGTATAGTCAAGCCTGTTGCATTTTTCTTTTAGAGGAGGTGAAGGCTGAATTTCCCTATGCTTCAGGGGAGTGGGGGGCTTTTCTGTGTTTGGTCCTGTTCTTAGACCTATGCATCGTGTTTCTAATAGTGGAGATAGCCTTGCTCTGGCTCCTGAGTCTCATGCCAGCCACTTCTGGCCCTGCCCATGATACTCTTGACAGGTTTGGGCGGGCCACTCCCTACCTTCTGAGGAGGCTGAAAAAGCTCCAGTGGCATAAGCGCCTGCCTTGCAAGCCGGCAGTCAGGAGTTCAACCCCCGGTACCAATAAAATGGAAAAAGACCAAAAAAAAAAAAAAGAGTGCCTAGCTGGGGGAGGAGTATGAGGCAGAGCCTCCATCTACAGAATCAAGCATTCTCCTTTGGCTGTCACCTAGTAGAAGTGGGGAAGATACCTTTCCTTTGGAACTACCTGAGAGATTGGGTGGCAGTACTGTTAGCAGAAGGGGTATAGTGCAGGAACACAGCACATTCTTACAGGCACAAACAAAACAAAAGTCATAACAATTATTTGATAATTGGCTGGCACTATGGGTGAGTGGAAAGTACTAACTATATGAGGCTTTAAACTTTTCTGAGAGACAGGAAGAATATCTTTGTTTCCTTTTATTTCCTTTCTTTTTTTTAAACCAGGGATGGAACTCAGGACCTCATGTCTTGCCAGGCACGCACTTATGCTGCTGAGCCAAATCCCTAGCCCTAGGAAGAATATCAACTTATACAAAAGGTTCTTTGCCCCAGATAAACTTACAATCCAGTTTTCATAGTGATGCAGGGAGTGTCATGGGGTTGGGGAGACAGGATGTGATTGTCAGGAAAGGGAATACATTGCTCTGCAGAGACATAAGCATAGGCTGGGAAGGCTGAAAGTCTGAGGTCTCTTGAAGACTGCAGGGTTTGAGCTCAGCAGGGAACAGAGGCCTCAGGGATTTGCAGTGGGTCACCTTGCTATGGCTGACTTCTTGCTTTGGTGTACCCCTTAGACTAGCATCCTCTCCACTGCTCACTCATGACCTCTGAACAATCTGGATTTATTTTTTGAGATGGGGTCTTGCTATTGTAGTTTAGGCTAGCCTTGAATTCACTGTGTAGCCCAGGCTGGCCTTGAATTTGCAGACCTTATGGCACAGGCTCCCAAGGGCTGGGACTACAGAAGTGCACCACCACACCTTGCTACAACCTGGGTCTTTTGGATGTTTTCACTCTGCAGTTTAGTAATTTCCTGTGACTCCAGCTGTCTTTTCCCTAGAACACTGATGTTGTGATTGGGACTTCTGTTCACAGATGGTATCTCTCTGCCCACCTAGCTGAGAGATTTGGTGACCTGAGTGGGGACCTGGTTTATGGTTCATCTGTCCTCAGAGGGACTGTGATTTCTTTTTTTTTTTTTTTTTTTTTTTTTTGTCTTTTTCGTTTTTATCGGTACCAGGGATCGAACTCACGACTGCCTGCTTTCAAGGCAGGCGCTTATGCCGCTGAGCTAAACCCCAGCCCCTGGGACTGTGCATTTCAACCTTGCCTCTTTGCTCCAGGTGCTGCTGCATGAAGAGGGGGATGACGCTAGCTTTGTCAACCTGCCTCGGCTGGGCCCGTCTGTGAGAGACAAAGACCTAGAGATGGAGGAGCTAATACTGCAAGATGAGGCGCTGCTGGGAACCATGCAGAGCTACATGGATGCCTCCCTCATCTCACTTATCGAGGATTTTGGGAACCTTGGAGAGGTGAGCTGGAGCTAGGGTTGGAGCTGGAGTTTTGCATGGGAGGCTGCACTTCAAATCCTTGGAGTGGTTTAAGGATGACTTGGCTCTTCCACATCCTGGTTGCTGGGTACCTGACCCAGGTCCTTAAAGTGTGTTTTTCATCTCTAGAGGGGAGGATGGGAGTTAGGCTGCAGGCTGCCAGATTATGCTATGTGAAAATGCCTTGCTAGTTTGGACCATGATCCAAGGCTTTTGCCCTATCTGGGTCCTTGGCCTGAATGTCTAGAGGCTCACTGAGTTTTGTGTTCTTTAAAAACACATATTTTGGGGAGTAAGGCATGGTAGCCCACCCTTGTAATCCCAGCACTTGGGAGGCTGAGGCAGGAAGATCTGGATTTTGTTGTTGTTGTTTGAAACAGGGTGTGGCTGAATCACTAGGTTGCCTAAGCTAGGCTCCAGTTTGGGGTTAGCCTCTCAGCGTGCTGGGATCACAGGACTTGCCACTATTCCCAGCTTGTGTTTTTTTCTTTTTGAAATGTGTTGTGTTGTTTTGGTACCAGGGATTGAACTCATGATTTTTCACTTGCCGTGCAGCCATTTTGCCACTAAGCTAAATCCCCAGCCTTTTCTTTTTGAGACAGAGTCCTACTATGTAGTCCAGGGTGGCCTCGATCTTGCATTTCTCTTGCCTCAGCCTACTGAGTTTTGGGGTTACAAGTGTACACCACCATACTTGGCACTGATCTATTTTTGGCCAATTCTGATGTAGCCTAGGATTGTTTGCTGAGCATCCTCCTCTTATCTGAAGGGTGGGGGAACTATATGAAGCCCAAGGCAAGACTCTAGATCTAGTCTGACAGGTCCCTTTTGGATGATAAATGAGACTAGATTAGATCCCCCTTGTTGGTAAATTGAGCTAAACTAAATGTGGGAGGCTAAGTCTTTGGCCTTTGGCCCTTCTCAGTGGCCCAGTATCTCATTAGAGATATTGGTGGGACCTTCCCATTGTCTTTCTGGAGCAGAGCAGGTTATCTCTAGAAGACCAGAATGAAGTATCGCTGCTCACAGCTCTGACGGAGATCTTGGACAATGCAGATTCTGAGAACCTGTCTCCATTTGACAGCATCCCTGACTCAGAGCTACTTGTGTCTCCTCGAGAGGGCTCATCTGTGAGTGTGGGACCAAAGAGAGGGCACTGGTGTAAGGGGTGGTGGTGCCTGCTATAAAGTTTAAACCCATATTTACTGGCTGTCCACATAGCTTTAAAGCGCAGACTGATCTCAGGTCTTTCTTTCCCTCTTAGCTGCACAAGCTGCTCACTCTTTCTCGAACACCACCAGAACGTGACTTCATTACTCCAATTGACCCATTAGGGCCCAGCACAGGTGGTAATAAAGTCAGTGGGGTAAGCCTGGCCTGCCTGGAACTTGCAGGTGGTAGGGAGCCCACAGGGACATGTCTGGAAAGTACTTAGCTGAAGCACTCCTTTCTTGCAGGTTGAGATGGCTCTTGCAGATTCCCCTTGGGATTTCTCCCCACCTTCCTTTCTGGAGACCTCTTCTCCAAAGGTACCAAGCTGGAGGTCCTCAAGGTCAAGACCACGCTGGGGCCAATCCCCTCCTTCCCAGCAGCGCAGTGATGGTGAAGAAGAGGAAGAGGTGGCTAGTTTCAGTGGTCAGATGCTTGCTGGAGAGCTGGATAATTCCATGAGTACCACCCCAGATTTCCCCATGCATCTGGCCTGCCCACAGGAAGAACACAAGGCGTCAGCAGCAGAGGTAGCCATGCCAGCAGCTGGTGAAGAGAGCATCTCCTCCTTGAGCGAGCTGGTGCGGGCCATGCACCCTTACTGCCTTCCCAGTCTCACCCACCTGGCGTCACTTGAGGATGAGCTTCAGGAACAGCCAGAAGAGTTGATACTGCCTGAGAGTTGTGTGGTACTAGAGATTGTGGGCCAGGCAGCCACAGCTGCTGATGGCCTGCAGATCCCAGTTGTGGTACGGCAGGTCCCCACTGGACCTGAGTCTGTACTCTTAGGTGACCCGTTGCAGTTGCTTATGCCCACGCTGGAGTCAGAGACAGAGTCTGCTGTTCCTGAGGTGGCTCCTTGCCCTGAGGAGGAGGACTTGGTGGGGGATTCAACTTGCTTTTTGGAGCCCAAAGAGGCCACAGCATCGGGGGCAACCAGTGGGCCTCAGAACACATCTCCCAGTGTAGTACTGGGTTCCCAGAAAGTGCGGAAAGGCAGGAAGAAGAAAAGCAAGGAGCAGATGGTAGCTGCTGCAGAGGGTTATGCCAGGAGGCTGAGATCTTCCTCTCGTGGGCATGCTGCTGTGGCTGCAGAAGTTGCTCAGACCAGCAGCCTGCAGACGCAGCCTCAGGAAGAGGTTCAGAGAGTGGCGGGGCCTCCCCAGGGAAGTGGGAAGCCTCGGGCTTGGGCTCGGGCTTGGGCAGCTGCCTTGGAGAAGCCTTGCTCTGGGAACCTGGAGAGAAGTGCTGGACAAGGTAGTTTTGCCAAAGAAGATCCTTTAGACCTCTACTGTAAGCTGGTTGACACGATCCAGGCCAACCCTGTTCCGACCCATCTCCCGTTGGTTCAATCTGTTCTGGCCGCCACACTGGATGACACTGTTAAAGCCAGTGCTACTGCTGGCGACCCTGCTCTGACTGACACTGTACCCTGTGAACCAGCTTCAGCCAGCTCAGAGCTCGCTGACCCTCTCCCGGCCGATCCAGTACTGACTGACCCAGTCCTTGCTGACTCGGCAGCAGTTGATCCCATAGTGGTTGTTCCCATCTCAGACAACTCGTCACCAGTAGATACTGTCCTAGCTGACCCAGCGCTTGTTGACTGTGTTCCTAATGATGTGGTTCCAGCTGACCCTGTGTTAGTTAAGTCTCGACCATCCGACCCTAGACGTGGTGCAGTGTCACCGGCCGAAGGGATTCTGGCTTCCCAGCTCCCACTGGACTCAGAGTCTTCAGACCCCTTGAAGGCTGTCATCCCCGAAGTCAAGGAGGTTGTAGGTCCTCTGAAGGTGGAAAATGGTGCCAGTGCTGCCACCCAGGAAACCAAACCACGGCCGCTTAGCCTTTCTGAGTACCGGCAACGAAGGCAGCAACGGCAGGCAGAGGCAGAAGAAAGGACTTCCCAGGCCCCAGCTGGGAAGTGGCCCAGCCTCCCAGAGACCCCCACCGGGCTGGCAGACATTCCTTGTCTTGTCATCCCACCAGCACAAGCCAAGAAGACAACTTTGCAGAGGAGCCCTGAAGCTCCTGTGGCCAGCTTTGTACCTGTGGGTCTCAGTCCAGCTTCTCCTAGTCCTGAACCTGCAAGTAGACCTGTGGATTCAGTGCCCAGTGAACAAGTGCCACCTGAAGAGGCGCCACTGCCAGCAAGATCTTCCCTTTCTACTGTGCAGTCCATGTCTCTGGCAGGGCCCATTTCTCCCATGATGGCCCCTCCTTTGCCATTCCCCCCAAGTGGCCTGGGCATGTCTCCTATGCTGCCCCTTCCTATAAGTGGACAAGGGGTCCCCAGTGTACCCCCACCTCCCTTGCACCCTCCTGGTCTTCCAGTGTCTATGGGGCCTGTACCAGCTGATCCCTATACTCACTATGTGCCACCCTGGCCATGTTATCCCCCTGTGTCCCCTTCTGGCTACCCTTGCCTGCCTCCCCCACCAGCATTGCCCCTAGTGTCTGGTACGGCTAGCACCTATGCTGTGCCCCCGACTTGTAATGTGCCTTGGGTTCCGCCTCCTGCCCCAGTCTCACCTTACAGCTCCAGCTGTACCTATGGGCCCATGGGATGGGGCTGTAGGCCACAACACCCTCCGTTCTGGCCAGCTGTTCCCCCGCCTCCTTTGGTTCCAGTCTCTATTGGGGTAGATGTTCTTCCACCCACCGTGGAGCCCAGTTCCATTTTAGCTGGCTCTCCTGAAAATGTACCTATGGCTCCTGTGCCTATGGCCCCTTCCTGCAATCTTGGGCCAGCTGAGAGCTCCACAGATAGAGGTCCACAGATAGAGGTTGCTAAGGTCGAAGTCAAGTCAGTGCCTGTCTCTCCCCATGAGAAACACAAGGTATCCTCTGTGGCACAAAGTCCTTGGCCCAAGGCCCCGCCAAGTCTATCTGTTGAAGATAAGTCTGTGGAGGAGCCTGCATCAGAGGCGCTAAAGCCTGAGACCCAGGAGATCAAGCCCAAGGAGAAGCCCCTCTGTCCCGCTGTCAGGGCTGTTTCTGTGCAAAGACAGAGCACTGTCCCCAAGCTGCCTACTGTCCATCCAGCCCGGCTAAGGAAGCTGTCTTTTCTGCCCACCCCACGCACACAGGGTCCTGAGGATGTGGTGCAGGCTTTCATCAGTGAGATTGGTGAGTGTACACGGTGTAGATCTGTGGGAAGAGGATGGGATAGCTGGGGTGGCCCTTTGTGGGATTTCTGGAGGGAGGTCTTCAGAAGTGCAACACTGGGTTTGTTTTGGTCCTTCCTGCTTTGTGCTGCTGATTTGGCTTGCTTCATGTGGTGGGCAGAGATGTAGAGGGTGAGGTGGATGTGCTCACTGTACTCAGTTGATGGGGCTAGTGTATTATCCTTTGTTGTATTCCTAAATAGGAATTGAGGCATCAGACTTATCCAGTCTGCTGGAGCAGTTTGAGAAATCAGAAGGTGAGAAAAATTGAGTTTTCTTCCAACTCTTATGGTTGGTATTTCCTTTAGATTCAGCCCTGTAGTTGGCTGCGCTAGAGTGGAGGGCAGTCAGCTACTAGAGAACTCCCCAGCTCTAGTGGGCAGACAAGATTTTCAAGAGTAGATAGATGGGGGGTTGTTGGGATTGTTTGGGGACATTTATCTAGAAGGAAGTAGCTCTCAAGCTGAATCAGAAAAGATAGGATTTTAGAGATAGTATGTATGGTAAATAAAGGAGGACAGGAAAGTATCAGAAAGACTATATGATGTATTTGGAAGGCAATCAAAATAGCTTGACTTTCTAAAGATAAGGCATGGATCTGGGTGCTGTCCAGGAGCTTTTGGTCTAACTGAGGAGATGAATACGAGTACTGATACCAGGTGTCTGTAGTATAAGCAAAATGTAAGTGGCTTGCACAGGGTGGTACACATTTATAATCCCAGCTACTCAGGGCCGAGGCAGGAATATGGCAAGTTTGAGGCCAGCCTGGTCAATTTAATGACTTTTTCAATACTTAAAAAAAAAAACGGGGCTGGGGGTTTAGCTGCAGCACACGTGCCTGTTTTGCAAGTGTAATGTTGTGAGTTCAATCCCTGGTACAAAAAAAAAAAAAAGCCGAGAAAGTATTCCAGCCCAGTGATAGAGTGCTTGCCTAGCATGCACAAGATCCTGGGTTTAGCCTTCAGTTCTGAAACAAAAATGTGGGATGGGACTGCCATAAAGGCTAGCCTGAATTGCATAGTGAAAACTTCCCTGTCTCAAAAAGACACAAAACAAAATAACAGACTGCTGTGGTTGGGCACAGTAAGCGCACACTCCAAAGCAGGCTGTGAGGCTTGGGAGCTAAGAAGGTTATGCGGAAACCTGAATACTAGTAACTTTCGACAGTTGAACTCTTGTCATACCACAGTGTTTCTCAGCAGAGAAGAGACTCGATTAAATAGTACCTGGTACCGCTTGGGGCTGGGGATTTAGCTCAGTGGCATAAGTGTCTGCCTTGCAAGCAGGCGGTTGTGAGTTTGATCCCTGGTACCTGGTACCCACTAAAAGAGACTGTATCTCTCCAGGGTGGCCCAGCAGGGAATAGGAAAAGCAAAGTAAACTTTCCCTGTTAGAATCTCTAAGCCTTTCTGTGCTACTTCAGTCTGGAACATCTGGTTGGGCCTGTTAACTAGTATAATTTCTTTGCAGCCAAAAAGGAAAGTCTTCCCTTGGCTCCTACTGATGGCTCGGCTGTAGGAAACTCAGGGTAAGTATGGAAATGTGAGCGAGTTACCCTACAGCTGTTGGCAGCAGCCAGCTGGTGTGCCAAGACCATTGCCGGGATGCCTGCATTGGCAGGGATGTGCAGTCAGTCAGCTCTAGAGTTTTCCTGTTTCCCCGCACCCTGCTCTGCCTGCCACCACTGGGCACTGCCGTAGTTTGATGGTGAGGTGGGATGGTGTGAACTGTCCTGTTGATGTAGGCAGGGGCTCCAGATCCCCAGAGAGTCTTTGTATCTCGTGGCAAGTTCTACTTTCCTTCATTTAACAGATTATAAGCTTGCTCAGTGCTGGTGATGGGATAACAAAGTGGGGGAAGAGATTAATGGCAAGGGCTTCACTGAGACCTTAGAGGACACAGATACCCTGGACTTCCTGCTCCCCAGTGGTCCGGCAATGAGAGGACTTTTTTTCATTCTTCATGTTCATGATCCATCCTGTTCTTTCAGCCTTTTGCATTGGTTCAGGTTGGCTTGAGGTGGCAGGCAAGGCTCCTGATTTGAAGGAGTTAGGGAGTACTCAGGGTCATAGGCAGCCTGCCTCCTGGAATTGGGCAGAGCTGAGATGAGATGCAGTCTATGGTTGAGTCACTAATGGCCCTTTTGTGCTGGAGGAGGAGAATGGGAACAGTTTGTACATCTCCTTTCTTCTCTGAATGCACCCCTCTCCAGTTACTTTGTGAGGAAAGCTGACGTACGTGATATTGAGGAGGCAATGAACCAGGCTTTCCCTTTTCCCCCCGCCAGCAGCGTTGACACTCCCCAGGAGAAGAGGCCCCTAGACCGGTTACAAGCCCCAGAGCTGGCCAACGTGGCAGGTGGGTTCAGGTTGGGGAACTCTGCCTGTAATTAGTTTGTGTAGCAGTGTGCAGTGCCTGCTCTGCATCAGGTGTGTATAGGCATTGACAACACAGGTCTGGTCTCCATTCTTGAGGTGCCCATAGTTTAGGAGCAGATGTACACAGAAGCATGCTGAGCGTTGGAAGTGATGTGTTAAGGAAGTTTGGTTTTTACTAAGACCCAAAGGAGACAGTCAACGAAGGGGTATATAGATGGTTATTCCCTAAGGCGAGGCTTGAGAAAAAACCATTGATAGCACTCAGATGGCAGTCAGGGGACAGGCACCCTCATCACATGGAGCAGGTGGAGTGAACAAAGGGCCAGTACCAGCCTGTGTTTTGGGGACCTGCAAGTGGCCATGTTTCTTGGAACATAATGGCTGATCAGGGTGGTGGGCACGACAAAAGCAAGACGTAAAGTCGGGGTGGTAAACAGATCTGTTACGGAAACTTTCTGTGCTTGTTAAACTATTTGGACTTCATCCTGAATATTGCAGAAGCAGTGAAAAGCTTTCTCCGGTGGGTTTTTGGATGGTCCATCTATGGGCAATGTAGAAGACAGTGGCAGATACGAAGCTGGAAGTAGGGAGACTTCACATACATACAGGCATGATCTGGCTGGAAGTCAGGCTGTGCTGGGGGGAGGGCTGGGCCAAGGACAGGCTCAGGTAGCTCAGGTAGGTAGGACCTGCACACCAGCTAGGGTTTGGTAATTGAGGAGATGGGGGTGGGGTTAGGACGCCCTGGCTGGCTGGGTTCCTAGCTGGTCAAGATAACATGGGGTAAGAACAGTTGAAACAGTGGGTGATGCTGGGTGTTGCCTACTTGGTGTATTTGGTGAGAAGTGGGGTCTCTGGAGCCTAAATACAGTGTTTGGAATTACAGAATCAGATCTCACCCTGCTATCTCCATCCTCCCTCCCCTCACAGGCCTCACCCCTCCAGCCACCCCTCCCCACCAGTTATGGAAGCCCCTGGCTGCTGTTTCACTGCTGGCCAAAGCCAGATCTCCTAAGTCCACCGCCCAGGAGGGAACCCAGAAGCCTGAAGGAGTTATAGAAGCCAAACATCCAGCTGCAGCCTGCCTCCAAGAAGGGGTCCGTGGCCCTAGTCCAGTCCATGTGGGCTCTGGGGACCATGACTATTGTGTTCGGAGCAGGACACCCCCCAAAAAGATGCCTGCCCTAGTCATTCCAGAGGTGGGCTCCCGATGGAACATCAAACGCCATCAGGATATCACCATCAAACCTGTCTTGTCCCTGGGCCCAGCCGTCCCCCTACTTCCATGCACTGCTGCCTCCCAGGAGCCACTTGATCACAGGACTAGCAGTGAGCAGGCACCTCCCCCAGCACCTTGCCTTGCCTCATCTGCCTTGCTGTCTCCTGAGGCCTCACCCTGCCGGAATGACATGAACACTAGGCCTCCCACTGAACCCTCAGCCAAGCAGCGATCCATGCGCTGTTACCGAAAAACCTGCAGGTCAGCCAGCCCCACTAGGGGCTGGCAGGGCCGTCGTGGCCGCAGCAGCCGGTCTGTCAGCTCTGGGTCCAACCAGACCAGTGAAGCATCTTCCTCATCCTCATCGTCGTCTTCCTCATCCCGATCCCGGTCCCGGTCCAGGTCCAGGTCCAGGTCCAGGTCCCGGTCCCTCTCCCCCCCACACAAGAGGTGGCGAAGGTGAGCTCTTGAAGGTCTGTTAGGTCCTGCAGTTAGGAAGTTCATGCATTGTCTTCTGTGTTTACACTGAAAATTTACACACTTTCAGGCACCACTAAGGCTTCTATTTCTGTTTTGGGCTTTTGTCTTTTCTTCTTTTGTGGACTGGTGAAGGAGGCAAGCTGTGAGAATGTAGCTTCTGTTGCTGGAGTTTGGGGTATTCCTGAGGTCTCCTGCTACCTGGAGGCATGCCTTGAGGCTGGTAGGGTTAGATCTGGAGTGTGCTGATTTGACTCTTTACCTATGATACTGTCCTCATGGTATTTTTCTGGCGCTGTGTGGGACAGTGGGTTAACTGCTAAAGGCAAAGTGCTTAATCATCTGTTGAGCAAAGCATATGAGGTGGTATCTTCGGATTTATTTCCTGGCAGCATTTTTCTTTTTCTCAGTCACAGACCCAAGTTTTCTCACTTACTCAGTAAAGGATTCTTGAGGTTCAGCAGTGTGTGCAGAAATACCTGCTTTTATAGTTCTAGCACAGTTCTTTCCTTCAGGCCATGGCTGCAGTATTCCTGTGTGACGTGGTGGGGAAGCATTTGTAAAGCAGACAGCCAGGCTTGGCCCATCCACCACAGATACAGACACAGAACTAGGTCCAGCTCTTTATCTTTCTATTTATTTTTCTTCTTTCTGATTTGTGTTTTTCAATTTTTAGCTGCATAATTGAAAATAAATCTCTTCCCAACCACACTAGAACATTCCAGATCTCTCTGAAATTCTATGAAGGGCTTCAGTCTGTCCATCTGTGAGGAAAAATTGCTCTTCTAGACCCTCTCTGCTCTGTTTTCTTTGGGTCTGAGTTGCCTGACAGGCAGGGCTGGGGCCTGGGTGCTGGAGGTGGAGTGTACCTGCACTGCTGCTGGCCTCAACTGCTCATCCTTTAATTCTCTAGGTCCAGCTGCAGTTCCTCTGGGCGTTCCCGAAGATGCTCTTCCTCTTCATCATCATCATCCTCATCCTCCTCATCCTCATCCAGTTCACGAAGCCGTTCTCGCTCCCCGTCCCCCCGCCGGAGAAGTGACAGGAGGCGGCGGTGAGCCTGTCTCTGGAAGCAGTGCTCTTGGAGTGGAGGTGCTGTGGGTTCTGAGTTTTGAATTGTTCTCTCTGGAGGCTGATGACACTTTCTCTTGCCAGGTACGGCTCCTATCGTGCACATGACCATTACCAAAGGCAGAGAGTGCTGCAGAAGGAACGTGCAATAGTGAGTGGAGTGGGACGTGGGGGGCTTGCCCCGAGCCATGAGCTCATTGAGGCCGCTGTAGCTCCAGTTCCAGCTCATAGCCTTATTTTCCTTGATATTCAACACAGGAAGAGAGAAGGGTAGTCTTTATTGGGAAGATACCTGGCCGTATGACTCGGTCAGAGTTGAAACAGAGGTTTTCTGTTTTCGGAGAGATTGAGGAATGCACCATCCATTTCCGTGTCCAGGGGTAAGCTTGGATCCCCCAGTAGGAAGTCCTTTCAGTCTCATTCATCTAGGTTCATATTTATCTTTTCTCCTTGCTGTGGTATGTTGGGCTGTGTGGGAAACGAGAAGAGCCACCTCTGCACCCTGGGGTACTGTGTCTTCTTAGTGTGTACCCGAATGGTTCACCTTCCCCACTAGTGACAACTATGGCTTCGTCACTTACCGCTATGCTGAGGAGGCTTTTGCGGCCATCGAGAGTGGCCACAAGCTACGGCAGGCAGATGAGCAGCCGTTTGATCTCTGCTTTGGGGGCCGCAGGCAATTCTGCAAGAGGAGCTATTCTGATCTTGGTGAGTAGAGGGTTAGGGTTAAGGTTTCCTAGGCCAGGTGTGGTGGCGCACACCTGTAATTTTATCACTCAGAGGCTGAGGCAGGGGGATGACCTTGGGTTCAAGGTCAGCGTGGTCTACATAGTGTGTTTGTATTTATTTACTTATTTATTTATTTATTGGTACCAGGGATCGAACTTGCAACCTTATCTGCCAGGCAGATGCTTATGCCACTGAGTTAAATCCCCAGCCTTACACAGTGTGTTTGAGGCCAGCCTGGACTACATGTTGAGATGGTATCTCAAAAAACTGAAAGAGAGTTTTAAAAAAAAAAAAAAAAGGAAAGGTTCCTAATTCTTTGAGAGTGGAGCTAGGCAGACTTATCTGACCTACAGAAAGAATCTCTAACACATAAGGGGAGATGAGGCCCTCCCACATATGGTCCACTTAAAGTCAGGACAATTTTAGCTGTAGCCATTTGAGAACATGGTTAGGATGTGACCAGAAATCATGATGTCAGGGCTGGGGATTTAGCTCAGCGGCATAAGCGCCTGCCTTGCAAGCAGGCAGTCGTGAGTTCGATCCCCGGTACCGATAAAAAGGAAAAAGATTAAAAAAAAAAAAAAAAAAAAAAGTAATCATGATGTCTGTTTCTCTTTACCTTTGTAGACTCCAACCGGGAAGACTTTGACCCTGCTCCTGTAAAGAGCAAATTTGACTCTCTTGACTTTGACACCTTGTTGAAACAGGCCCAGAAGAACCTCAGGAGGTAACCCTGGGCTCTTCCCCCTTCCTTTTTTTCTTTGGAGGTGTCCAGCCTCCTCCACTCCCCTCCCCCGCTCTAGGGGAGAGAGCTGCTAGTGAGATGACTTTTATAAAGAAATGGAAAAAACGAAATAAAAATGTTAAATCAGATTTTTAAAGAGGGTAGTTGTTTTTTGTGTTTTATAACAGGTTGAAACAAGTTAACTTGTGTTCCTATATAAAATGGTTGAGATTGAAGAATTCATGTTTTGGAACCCTAGTCACTATGCAAACTGATAAACACGAACAAAAAATTCCCAAGTATCACTGTGGGTAGGTGGGTAGGTTTATGTGTGTCCCCATATTTGGGACTATGTTGAACCCAGGGTCTTTGCACTGAACTAGATCTAAATTGACCAGGCTTGGTCTTGAACTTGGGATCTTTGTGGCTTAGCCTCCTGGAGTGGGATTTCAGGCATGGGGCCACCAACCGTGGACAACAATTGTGCTTCTCTCTGTTGTTGCTACTCCAAATGTAGTTTTCCTCTGTGAACACAATCAGCGAGCGATGTGCTTACCTCCATTGAGTTCTTAAGTAAGGCCTCTCTCTGGTCAAATACAAAGTCCACTGTAGGGAAAGGCAAGAACAGAAAAGGGGCTTCATTAGGTTTTTTGTTTGTTTGTTTTTGGCTAATTTTGACTAAGAGGAGTTAAAACTTTAGTAGGGGAACTCTGGGAAACAGTTATAAGGACAAGGATAATGAGAGGAAAACCAGTTGCAAAAAGTCATTAGGTAGCACAGTGGTGTCAAGACGCAAACCAAAGGACCAGAGGGAAAACTAACAAGCAAGAGCACAGAGAAGCCAGGTGCAGAGAGCCAAGACAGCTGTCCCTCCTTGCCTGCATTCCAGTATAAAGGGAACACAAAAGGGAGGGGGCTACCCTACTTTTAAAAAAATTCTTATTCACTGTCTAGAAATATTTGTTCACACTTAGGCACTTATTTATTTATCTGTCGCTGTATTTCCACAGTAGAGTCATTGTATTACTACAAATACATCTCTTTACTAACTACAAGCTGGACTGCTAGAACGTTCCTTCTAACTAGTAGCTCATCCCAGATATAAGGCCCTGACAAGGACAAATGGGCAGAAAAAAGTCAAAGCTCACCAAAAGAAATGTACATGTGGACAAGGATGTCCAGGGTGCCTGGTTTAATACTAGGACACCCCAGGGAGCCAATCAAATTGTAACAAATTCCAAAGACAAAGGATCCCTAGAAACATTGGGAAAGAAGCTGAGGACACAGTCTCATGGGTTTTTCATCTTTCTGGGGCCTCTTCCTTCTGTCAGAGGTAGCTGTCCTCTTTACAACAAGGCATTTTTTTCAAGACAGGGTCTTGCTATGCAGTTCAGGCTGGCCTTGAGTTTACTTTGTAGCTCAGGTTGGTTTCAAACTTGCAACTATTCTGCTACAGCCTCTTGAGTGCTGGGATTACAGGTGTGCATCATCATGTCCCGAAAGCGTGTTTCTTGCACTGTGTTCCCTTAATTCATTATTGGTGCTGAGTTTACAAACTTGGTTAGTTGCTCACCCCAGTGGTCCTTGTCCTGGATGTGAAACCATCAGTTTTTTTTTGGTTTTGGCCTTTTTGAGACAGGGACTCACTATGCAGTTCAGGCTCGCCTTGAGCTCACTTTGTGGCCCAGGCTGGCTTTGAACTTGAAACACTTTACTGTGTCAGCTTCCCCAGGGTGGACATTACAGGCGTGTGCTACCATACCCAGTGAAATAACATTTGAAACTTGGCTTCTCAGTTATGTTATCTATGGAATAAGTCAAGGCTTTGCTTATCCCACTTAAAAGACTTGAATCATTTGGAGACCTTTTTAGAAGGCAGATTTCTGAATTCTGGGATGGGACCTGAGATTCAACATTTCAAAAGTCAGGGCAATGCTACTATTCCAGGGAGTGATTTTGATAGCAAGGGCTAGAGGAAACTCACACTTGTAAAAAAGGTTTTCTAAGTGGCCTTGTGTGCACATTAACATTTCCATTGAGATCATTTTAGCTTGAGCGCAATGCTGAGCACGCAGCGGGTGCTCGTGTTCGAATGAATGCATGAGGTAGAACCCTGGAACAGAGGCAGATGTGATTCTCTGTAGTACAAGGAAGTGCCTGTTTTGATAAAGGCAAAGGAAAATGGTGTCTAAAAGTGGATCCTTGTCCTTCCTGAGTCACATTATCGGGAAGTAGTCAAGGAGTAGGGTTAAAAAGGCTTGCTGACTGCTGGAACCCGCGAGTTATGACCAGAGGAGAATTTATCCTGATTGGGTTGCTCCCACTTCCCTTATGGAGCCGAAGAACTAAGGCTGCATAAGTGAGGAGGGGGAAGAGCTGCGTGAAGTGGGCGATTTTGGGAATCAACCTATCCACCATGGCTGGGGGACACTGGAACCACATCTGAAGAAACAAGAGTGGCTATGACCTGCTGGTCCATTCATTGATTACTCTCAAATCCGAGTAGTAGCTGTGGCGCCGGAAACTGCTCCAGTGACGCGCCTCCAGGAGAGCAGCACGCGGGAAATGGGAGTTTTGCCGCCAGGGCCTGGAACGTCACCCCTGACGTCAGGGCTCCGCCTCCACAAAGGAGACCGGCAGGCTCCGCCCTTACAAGATGGCGCGCCGGGGAGTGGAAAGCGCTTCCTGGTTTTGCCATGTCCCGCCTCCGCAGTGGGGGCGGGGTTACTGCAGAGCCCACCTCTTCCGCTGCCTGCTGTCGCGGTGGAATGACGTTAGATCCCACTCTCGGTCGAAGGCCTGAATTTGTGGTCGCCCTTCCTGAGTGACGGTAGTGACGCGTATTGCCAGACGATGGCGGACGCCGGCTTTCGCCGCGTGGTTCCCAGCGACCTGTACCCTCTTGTGCTCGGCTTTCTGCGCGACAACCAACTCTCAGAGGTGGCCAATAAGTTCGTCAAAGCGACAGGCGCTGTGAGTCCTGGGTTTGGTACGCTGGGCCGTGGTGGATGATCTCCGGCATCTGGCCTCGACATGCCTGGTTTCCAGGTGGGGAGGTCTGTGGGTTCCACTAGTCTGGAGTTTGCGAGTCCTTTGTGCTTACTGTCGAGGTAACTGGAGGAAGCCTGGGGCCTCGGAACCTCGTCTCCTACGAGGTCTAAGGAGACGCAACTTCTTCCTGGGGAGCTGTGCAGCGGCGATGGCGTGGGATCCGCGTGCCCAGGTCACGTGGTAGAGGGTGCGGGTCCCACACAGGGCTCCTTTTGGGGGTTAGGCAAAGCGTCGTTCGACCTTGAGGTCGAATGCATTGACCTGAAATTGGAAGGTGAATAAAATCACTTTAGAATTGAAGGCCTGAATTTCTTTTACTACAAAAGAAAATGAATGAGAGTAGGGTAGCGTCCTGCCTTTAGGTGTACCGAAGTATATTTGAGCCTCATACAGTGAACTTAGACCTTTGGCTAATGAAATCAAACCTATCTAGGCTTGGGACCAGGGTCTGCCGCATTTTAGATGTATGATCCTGGCAGATTGCTCTTTGTCTCTTTTCTTCTGCGGTGTCGTTATCCACTTTATAGGATTTTAGTGAGTTTCTGTGAGATAAAGTATAATATTAACAGTTTCAGTGCTGGTACACAGGGAGTGTGAAACAAGTCGTGGCTTTTACTATAGCTAAAGCAGCTTAGGGTCCTCCAAACACCGGCGAGGGCAACATGATTAGGAATGTGAAGAGTAGGGAATCTAGGACCCCCCCCCCACACACACACACCCCGGGGATCAAAATTATGCACTTGCCAGGCTGAACTTACACCACTGAGCAAAGTCCCTCGGCCCTTGTGTTTTGTTTTGTTTGTCTTTTTCCTTTTTATCGGTACCAGGGATCGAACTTACGACTGCTGCTTGCAAGGCAGGCGCTTATGCCGCTGAGCTAAATCCCCAGCCCCATCCCCAGCCCTTGTGTTTTTGGGACAGGTTTTCACTTTGTAATTTAAGATGGCCTTGGAATCACTATATAGCCCAGGGCAGTCTTAAACTTGCCAGGATCCTCTTGCCTCAGCCTCCAAAGCACTGAGATCACAGGCCTGGCCACTATGCCCAGTGGGAATCTAGATTTCGAGAAGTGCCGTCGTGATTGTGCAGGAACTCATCTGGAGAGAAGATAGAGTGGTAATCTTTGTGATGAGGGATGATAGCATGGCTAAAAGGTAGGTAGGTTTGTTCTTTGTAGCAGAATCGGGCGCAAACGGAGTTCAAATCAGGCTCATAAAGAACTTTCCTAGGGTTAGGGAAGGGTTAGGCTGTCTACCTTATGATCTGATATAACTGCTTATTTTTTGGAACTGTTTTTAGTTTGCTGTTAGACTACAAGAAACTAAGCATTTTGGAATTAGGATTCATTGTTGTTGTTTGTTTTGTTTTGTTTTTTGGTACTGGGGATCAAACTCGTGACCTCACAGTAGCCAGGCAGGTGTTTACACTACTAAGCTAAATCCCTGGCCGGGATTCATTGGTTTTTGTGTGCCAAAGACTAATCTTTGTAGGATTGTTAGGTCTGGATGCTGTTTCCTTATTCTTCACCTTTTTCATACATTCTCCCACATCTTTTTTATTTTTATTTTTTTAGGTAGGATCTGATATGTAATACAAGGTGGTCTTGAATTTGTAGTGATCCTCCTGCCTCAGTTTCCAGAGGGCTGGGATGACAGGCATGCTGTTGCATTCATCATCTCTTATTCTCTCAATTTAATGAGACCTGTAGGATTGTTACCTTTTTTTTTTTTTTTTTTATCGGTACCAGGGATTGAACCCACGACTGCCTGCTTGCAAGGCAAGCGCTTATGCCAGAGCTAAATCCCCAGCTGAATTGTTACTATTTTATACGGAAGAAAACAGTCTGGTGGTGCACACCAGCCTTCAGGAGACTGAGGCAGAAAGATTAGCAGTTCAGGGCCAGCTTGGGTACAAAGCAAGACCCTGTCTCAAAAAAACAAAGCCACCCCTCTACCAAAAAATAACAAAAACACCCAGTCTAAGGGATTCAATAATTTTCCCAGGGTCAAATGGTAGTACCTGGCCAGGGATTTAGCTCAGTGGCATAAGGGCTTGCATGGCAAGCCTGAGGTCATGAGTTTAATGCCCTGTACACCGCCCCCCTCCCCCCCAAAAAAAGTAATACCTGACAAGGTGAGTTCACATTTGCATGTATGTGGAGCATACTACCTGGCCTATGAGACTGTGTTCTTGTGGGATGTTTTGGCATTTTTACATCAGTTAATGCTCTGTAGTCCAGGTTGGTCTTGACTTACAGTGGTCCAACTGCCTCAGCCTCCTGAGTGCCAGGTTTTTAGTTCTGTACCACCACACCTGGTTGAATGAAACTCTTAACTGTATATATAAATCTCTTTTCTTTAAGAATTCTACTCAATCTTTAATCAAGTAGGAACAAATCTCCACTTTAAAAAAAAATATGTCTGCAGTTTGAAGGGCAAAGGGAACAGCTAAAAAGAGGAAGCTTTGTATTTGCCCCGTCCCCACAGATGTTTTTGAAATCTGTTGTAGCGTATTTACCAGTTACCACTTGAAAGCTTGCTTCCTTTTGTGTGTGTGTGGTGGTTGTTTTGTTTTGTTTTTTTGAAACATTTTCACTATGCAGTTCAGGATGGCCTTAAATTTACTTTGTAGCCCAGGCTGGATTCAAACTCAGGGCGATCCTCTTGTCTCAGCCTCCCAAGTGGCATGCCCAGCACTTGGTGACTTCTGTTAATTTGGTCTGATAATCCCTATTAAATCAAACACTACCTTGTGTTAGTGTATGTGCCTAGGATTAAATTCTTAGGTAGTACATTACTAGGGTAGAAAGAGTGAACTTTTAAGAAATCTTTGATAACTACAGATTGGCGGTAAGGGAGATATATAGTGCTATAAACTGTAGGATAGTGTGTGTCTTTCTTTAACCAAAAATTGGAGATACATAGGTAAAATACTTTCTCCTACTTTATTCAAGTTGGAAAAGTCTTACGAGGGCATAACATTTATTCCAACTTTAGTAAGTATATAATAAATCACAGTTAATAAAAGAATAACACAAAACCTGGCCTCTGCTAAACTAATCAGGGTAACATTTCCTCACCCATTTCTCTTTCCTGTAGGCGCAGCAGGATGCCAACGCCTCCTCCCTCCTGGACATCTATAGCTTCTGGCTCAAGTAAGCCTTCCATGTTCCTCTTGCACTGTTTTCTTTCCATATGGGCTGGGCTGTGTTCCTTGGTTTGAGAAGGTCCCGAACCCCCAGAAGTTAGCACATTCTACTCCAGCAGGTCTACCAAAGCCCCAAAGCGGAAGTTACAGGCAAATGGACCAGTGACTAAGAAGGCTAAGAAGAGCAGTTCATCCAGTGACAGCAGTGAGGACAGCAGTGAGGAGGAAGAAGTTAAAGTAGCTCCAGCTAAGAAATCTGGTAAGGCAAGTGGTTTGGGCTCAGTGGCTTCAGGAAGAGAATTTGCCGGCTGCCTAGATGACGGGCTGATTTTTTTCTGGGCCTGTTTTTTTTATTCAGCTGTACCTGTGCCAGCCAAGAAGGCCATTCCATCTCAACGTCCTGGAAAGACTGTGGCCAAAGCTTCAGAGAGCAGCAGCAGTGAGGAATCCAGTGATGATGATGAGGAGGAAGACAGAAAGGTCAACACTGTCCAGGTTTGCCTCTTTGGGAAGAAAGAGGATTGGTTAAGGGTTTAGAAAGGAAAATGCTAAAGTTGCCCTTTGCTTCTGGCCAGAGATTGTGTAGCTGCATGGTGGTGTCTGCCTATTATTGCAAATTCTCTGAGGCAGGAGGATCTTAAAGTTGAAGAAATCGAGTGTTTGGGATAGTTACTAGGATGTGACAGGGACAAGGACAGTGTTTGAAATAGTTAACTTATTGAGACAGGATCTTGCTTTGTAGTCCAGGCTGGCCTAGAACAACCTCCCAAGTGTTAGGGTCGCAGAAGTGCTATCATGCCCAATTTTTGTTTTTCCCTTAATCATATATGCTTTCCCCACCCATCATGTTTTCTTTACCCCTAGAAAATAAAAGCCTCAGATGCCCTTTGAGTACTCAGAAGCTCTTGCTGATTTCCTGTCTTACTTTTTTTTAGCAAAAGGGAGTTAAACCTCAAGCCAAGGCAGCCAGACCTCCTCCTAAGAAGGCCCAGAGTTCTGACTCTGATTCTGATTCCAGTTCAGAGGATGAGGCACCAAAGAACCAGAAGCTGAAGACAGCACCTGTGGCAGTGAAAGCCCCAGCCAAACCAGGTACTGCTGTTTCCCAAGAGTGGGGCTGGGACCAGAGTGCTCTAGGTGCAGGTGTTAAAATTGCCCCCAGTGGGGCTGGGGCTATAACTCAGTGACACAGCACCTGCCTGGAAAGTTTGAGGTCATGAATTTGATCCCTGGTATCCAAAAAAAAAAAAAAAAAAAAAAATTGCGTAGTAAGCATTAAGGTAAAATTATATTGTTTGCTGAACAAGAGGTATTGATGATCAGTGTCAGGTTTTTTTTACAGAAAGTTTGAGTACTTTTCCTTGTAAAGTAAGTTATGATTTGTGTAAGCTTTTCTGAGTAGAGCTAGAAGCGAAAGGCTTCAGGGGAGGTGTTTAGGTGAATTTTACCTTGCCATCCTTTTTTAATTAGTTGTATCTCTGATGTTGGGCAGGAGAGTCTTGCTTTATTCCTAATAAACCATGGCCTTTGCCATCATGGCTGGTCTTTAGTTAACCTAGGAGACTCTTGTGCTCAAATGGAAAGCAGTTCTCACGTGGTCTCTTGCTTGTCCTAAGATTCTTTGCTTTGTTCACTTTCTCTTCTTAGGTGCACCAGCTCAAACAGTACCTAAGGTGGCCAATGGCAAAGCCGCCAGTAGCAGCAGCAGCAGCAGCAGCAGCAGCAGCGATGATTCAGAGGAGACGGAAGCAGCTGTCCTCAAGGTCTCCTGTCAGAGAAAACATGGGGGTGGTGTTCCCAGGGGCAGGGTTGTTTGCATCAGCGTTCTTCTCTGATAAATCGATTCTCTCTGATGCAGACTACACCTAAAAAGCAAGCTGTAACCAAGGCCCTTGTAAAAGTACCTGTTGTAGCCCAGAAGAGTTCTAGTAGTGAAGAGTCCTCCAGTGAGGAGGAAGAGGAACAGAAAAAGACCACCAAGAAGAAACCAGGTAATTGGATACAAACAGGCAGTAGGGTTGGCTGGGTCAGGTGCCGTCAGGACCCTTACTCTTTTGGGGCTGCTGTGTGCTCCCAGGAAAGCCAGGGGCAGCCATTCTGCTTCATGGAGCTTAAGCCCAGAAGTGACACACTATCACTTCAGCAGAAGTGACAGTGCCTGTACTCAAAAGAGAATTAAACTCCATCTCTTAGAAAGGCAATATTAAAGAATTTTTGTGGGCTTTAGTTTTCTCAGTGCTGGGGTTCTGGCAAGTGTGGTGCTTCAGCCACATACCTAGCACTTGTGTACATATTTTAAAGCCACCAGACTGTACCTTTTAAACAGGTCCCTACAGTTCTGTGCCTCCACCTTCTGTTCTCCCACCAAAGAAGCCTCTGGGAGCCCCATCTTCCAAGAAAGCTCTAGAGAAGAAGCATTCCGAGGAAAGCAGTGAGGACAGCAGTGACGAGTCTGGTAAGGGAGGTGCAACTTCCCCCAGAAGTGGGTGCAGGCGTGTGTATGAGAACAAGGCCTGGAGGCCTTTGTTGTTTTAGAGCACTTGACTGCACTGGGACTGTGTTAAGGTGCTAGGTTTCTTTGCCATCTTCTCTTCCCCTCCTGCTTGAGTTGGGCCTCTGGCCCTAGCATAATGCCACAGGTTCTCCCCAGATTCAAGTTCTGAGGAAGAGAAGAAACCCCCAGCTAAAGCAGTTGTCTCTAAAGGAGCCACTAAACCAGCTCCAGCGAAGAACGCAGAAGAGAGCTCTTCAGACAGCTCAGGTGAGGCACAAGGCCCCTGGAGTAGTAATGACGCTCTCTCCTTTGGGCTGCTTCTAGAGCTCCTCTGAAGCCTGATTATTCTGCCCTTCTGTGTAGACTCTGACAGCTCCGAGGAGGAAGCTCTTTCCAAGCCATCCAGTAGCTCCAAGAATTCCTCAAGTAAGCCAGCTGCCACTGCTAAGCCACCTGCTGCTAAGACAGCAACTGCCACTCCCAAGCAGCTTGCAGGCAGCGGCCCAAAGCCTCTGACCAGAAAGGCTGATAGCAGCTCTAGTGAGGAAGAGAGCAGTTCCAGTGAGGAGGAGACGACTGTGGCCACCCCGAAGGCAAGGGTGACTGCCAAAGCAGCACCGTTTCCGCCTGCCAAACAGGCTGCCCAGGCTGGTGGGGGCAGCAGCTCTGACTCTGATAGCTCCAGCGGTGAGGAGGAGGAGGAAGAGGAGAAGGAAGAGAAGACAACCAAATCCCTGGCTAAAAAGCAGCCCAAGAAGGTGGCAGGAGTGGCAGCCCTACCCAAGGCAGTCTCTACCAAGAAAGCCAAGGCTGAGAGCAGTAGCAGTTCTTCCTCCGAGGATTCCAGTGAGGAAGATAAAGAGGTGGAGAAACCCAAGATGGGGCCCACTGCACGACCACAGGCTCCAGAGGCCAACGGCACCTCTGTACTGACTGCCCACAATGGGAAGTCTGATGAGGTTACCGAGGAGGAGGAAGGAGAGAAGAAAAAGGCAACAGTGGCTGTCGCTAAGCCAGGTCTGTGCCTGGAAAATCTGGGCTCTGCCCCCAAGTCCGGACAGGATGTGCTTTGGGGGTGGGTTGTGGGTGGAGGCCCATGTTCGGCTCCCCCTGGCGGTCCTTTGGGAAGCTCAGGGGAAGAAAGGGAACCTGGCTCCTGAGTGTGGCTTTTGTTCTGCAGAGTCAGGAAAGAAACGGAAGCAGAAGGAGGCAGTCAAGGAGTCAGAGACTCCTCAAGCCAAGAAGATTAAGCTCCAGACTCCTAACACATTTCCAAAAAGGAAGAAAGTAAGTTGTCTTCTTTTCTTCTCAGGAACCAGACCTTCAGAGCTAGGAAGAAAACCTGGGTCATCATCACAGCTTGGCCTACCCTGGCCAAGTGCAGGATGCATGTCACTGTGGGAAGCTGTTTCGATGAGCACTTCATCTTTAATTTACTGCTTCGTTCTTTTCCAGGGAGAGAAAAGAGCATCTTCCCCATTTCGAAGGGTCAGGGAGGAGGACATAGAGGTGGATTCACGAGTGGCAGACAACTCCTTTGATGCCAAGGTGAGGGAGAGACCGTGTTCCATTGTTGGGGAAGTGTTGGGAGAACAGTGTCAGCTGCTTGTTAAAGTTAGCGGGAAGGTCTTGGTCCAGTAGCCTGGTGCAGAGAGGGAGAAGACAAGAAGGTGACATGGTCCTGGTGTTGTCCTTGCAGGCGTTAACTGGCTCTTGCTCTGTCATTTGTAGAAAGGTGCAGCTGGAGACTGGGGGGAACGGGCCAATCAGGTTCTGAAGTTCACCAAGGGCAAGTCCTTCCGGCACGAGAAAACCAAGAAGAAGCGAGGCAGCTACCGAGGAGGCTCCATTTCTGTGCAGGTCAATTCCGTCAAGTTTGACAGCGAGTAACCTGGGCGAGCAAGGGCAATGATTGACGGCTACTTGCGTGGAACTGGGATTCCTCTGCTCTGGTGGGGTAGAGGGGTGTCTTGGCGAGGACAGAAGTTTAGAGTAGGTCCTGGGCCTTTACAGCATAGTAACTCCTCTGGTCCTTTTCTGTGTCCTAGTTTTGTACAGATTGACTCCCTGCACCCCTTGAATATCAGGGACAAAGTAAGAGGAGTGTTGTTTTTAAACAAATACATTTTGGTTGTTCCCCTTGTTCTTTGGAAGGCCTCCTGCTGTGAAATTTATATATTTTGTATTAAATGATTTCTCATTGGTTTCTGTTGTGATTTTCAGAGATGGGTTCCCACAGATAAAATCACTGCTATTCCTCAAGACACAGTAAAGAACCACTTTACGGGTGTTTATAATTCAAGCGTTTCTGCCCAGGAGAATGATCGAGTCTCCTGAGGCCCAATAGGGCTGCTTCAGGAGCAGGCGGTGAGTGTGTGTGCTGGGTGTCACCCGCTGTCTGGGGCAGAAGTGTCAGCCAGCACGAAGGTACCAGCTTTTTGGGATAAAATTCACTATTTTGTTACAGAACTCTGGTATGAATGGATGGGTCAGTTTTACTTGTCTTTTGTAATTTTGTCATTATATGTTTGCAATGTATTTAGCTTTAATTCAAAAACAATCTCTTAAAAAAAAAAAAGCAATCTCTTGTACTGTTCAGAGACATTTTTGGACAACTGGGCGCTTGCAGTCTTACACTAAGCTGAAGACCACATCTTCCCTTGCCCTTGTTTTTACATGATTGAGAACAAAATAGAACTAATTTTATGTGAGAAGGCCCTTTTCCTTGGCAATTTCTGTCTTGGTAACAATGGAGACCCAGAATTAGTTCTGTTCCTACATGTTTGTGAATCACTTAATCAGAAAGCGTGGGAGGAAAGAAACTGATTAAAGAACCTCAGTTCTCATGAAGTGGCTGGTTGCAGGATTTGTAGGTGGCCTCTGTCTGTGCTAACAGGTGGGACTGGAGAGGATTCCAGATGGGAAGAGGGGTTGACAGTGCATCCTGCCAGGCCTGCTATGGCCTCCGGTGGGACATGGACTAATTGACATACCCCCTCTGTAACCTTACCACTGAGGTTAAAAGTGAAAGCTGTAGACAGGGCTGGCGTGCAGCTCAGTGGGAAGTGCTCCACGCAAAAGGTGCTGCACACACAGCAGTGAGCAGAGGTGAAGATCCTAGGCTGGTCAGCTGAGGCGGGGCTGTGGGCACAGACTTCACTGCTGGCAGAGCCCTGCCCAGGGAGGGCCTTGGGGGCAATTGACAGCTCTGGAGGGTGGGCTGGCCCTGTCCTACAACTGTATGCCTCAGGCTTTCATGGGTGATGTGGAGTCTTACATGTAGCTTCCCCTTGGATTCCACACAAAACAATGTGTTAAAACTTGGTTTTCCGTGTAACTAGGAAGAGCATCCGTTATTCATGTTGCTGTGGGTGCTTCAGTCTGCATGGGAAAAGTTCTGTGTTACTACAAAGTAATAAACTGGCTGGTTTGTAACTGGCATTGTGAGACTGTTTGTAACACTATTGTGAGTGTGTACCGCCCCCTTCCTCAGGCAGACTGGGTGCCCCTGGGCAGGCTGTGCAGAGGCTTCAGGCATAGTGTGCTTGCTGTCCGTGACCACGTCTCGTCCCTTTATTGCAGTCATTCATATTGGGGGTTGGCCAGGTGGCCTATTGGCCAAATCCAGCCCACGGCCACTTTATGACTGAGGAACTAAGAATGAGTTTTGCCTTGGGGGCTGGAGGTTTAGCTCAGCGGCATAAGCGCCTGCCTTGCAAGCAGTCAGTCGTGAGTTTGATCCCCGGTACTGATAAAAAGGAAAAAGACAACAACAAAAAAAAGAATGAGTTTTGCCTTTATTTTTCTGCAGTAATGGGGAGCTAACCCCCGGGTCTTTGCATTGAGTTGCATCTCAGCCCCTTTTAAAATTTCTGAAAAAATGTGTTTTAATTCTGATACTGGTATAGGGATTTAGCTCATCAGCACAGCACCTGCCTGGAGAATACAAGGCCCTGAGTGCAATTACCAGTACAAAAAATAATAATTCTTACACTGTCTTTAATTTGCCCAGTCTAGGTTCAAACTTGTCAGACGTCTACCTCAGCTGCCCATGTGTACCTCCATGGGCAGTTTTGCATTTATAAAAGAGCTCTGTAAGTAAGAAATCCTGTGAATGACCTCCAAAGCCTAAATGTCTAATAGGTGGCTCTTTGTAGAAAAGGTTTGCTAACCCCTCACCAAAAACAAAAGTGGGTGTGGTGGCACATGCCTGTAATCCCAGTGCCTGGGTGGCTAAGGTAGGGAGGATTGCTGAGTTCAAGGCCAGCCTAGGCTACAGAGCAAGACGCTGTTCCAAGAAAAAAGGGTTTGCTGGCCGTTGGTCTTAACATTAGAACCATCCGGGGAGCCCAGTGCTGCTACTGGGCCCACCCCTAGAGTGCTGAGCGTTGTGAAGTTCTGGTCTCAAGAGTCAGGAGCGTTGAAAAAGTTGCTCTACCAGAGAGGACATGAGGTAGAGACCAGTGGTGCATCCCAGCTGTGCAGCACCTGCTTAGCATCTTGTGTGTGTGGCCCTGGGCACTGTCCCAGCACAGCGAAAGCCCATCTGCCCACACCTTTCCTTTACTGTTTAATGGCATTAGTGTAAGCCCCGACTTGTTGCCCCTGCAGAGGGTGTCTACGTATAGTCATCAGTGCTTGGGAGGTGGCTTTCTAGGGCCTCTGCTTCTCCCCCTCTTTAGATACCAAAGCGGCAGTGTACTGGTCCCACCAGCAGTGGCTCTGTTTGTGTGGAGCCTGTCTGTCTCCCTCCACTTCACAGCGCCTTTGCTTACACCTGGCAGACGCTCCTTCCGAAGAAGAAGCAAGCATTGGAAGCAGAGGCTGTGCCTCCTGTGAGCTAGGACGGTGTCCCTGCTGCTGGATTCTCCAGTCCTGTTAACACTTTGGTCACTGTTGCCTTCCAACACCGTTGCAGTAATTTGTAATTCCAGCAACAAATTCAGAAAAGTGCCTTTTTTTTTTGTCTTTTTTGTTTTTATCAGTACCAGGGATCAAACTCACGACTGCCTGCTTGCAAGGCAGACGCTTATGCTGCTGAGCTAAATCCGCAGCCCTGGAGAAGTGCCTTTTTGCTTGTCCTTTAGCCAGTACTACTTACCAGATTTATTTGCTATTTGAAATGAAAATACTACTCATCTTTGGAGGATCTGTTTTACTTTGGTGAAACAACATTAAACTTATTCTCTGTGTTCGAGTATGTGAGCACACACACTGCTGGGAGTTGAAGTCAGCCTTAGCCAGGGCACAACTTGCCTCAGCTGACACAAGGACTGAGCGTGCGTGGCAAGCACTTAGCACAGTCCCTGGCACTTGTAAGCACTCTGTCACTGTTGTTTGCTCCATTAAATGAATTTTTAATTTAATTTTTGTGGTGCTGGGGAACTGAACCCCCAGAGGCTGCAGATCTTAAGAGTCCCTGGCCCTGCGTCAGAAGTTGGTACTTCATTCTGCCCATTGTCGGCATTGGAGGACGGCTGTGTTGCAGGATGTGTACTGAATGCCACCTCCCTGATGTGACAGCCCCAAGAGCTGCAAACATTGCCAAGCATCCCCTGGAATGCAGAGCAGCTCCTGCCTTAGAGCTGCTTTGAAAGCTTAGAATATCAGGTGATTTTTTTCCTAAGGTTGACAAAATAAGAATTTCGGGGTGCCCTGAGAATCCAGGTCTCTTGACTTATATCTGAAAACAGCTTTCGGTATTGTTTTTATTTTCTGATCATAGTCTCACTGTGTAGTTCAGGCTGGTCTTGAACTCACAATCCTCTCCTTTCTTGGCCTCCAAAGTCCTGGCATCATAGGTTGTACCACCATTGCCCCCAGCTCTCTGTGCTTTGAGTGCCAATAAGAGAACTTGAGAGCTGAAGGTCCAATGAAGGGACCCAGGCAGTGAACACTGCTCACCATGCTGCCTTCTGTCCTGAGGACCAGCATAGTGCTCCCAAGGGAGGTATGCAAGGAGGTCTTAGCCCACATTGGCCACCTGGGCCACCTTGGCCACCTTGGCCAAGCATCCTGAAGAGTAGCACTTTGCCAAGTATGAGAAGGGCACACAGTGTGCATGGTAGAGGAAATATTTTTCCACAGGAGAAGAAAACTTTAGAATAGATCCAGCCAGTGTGTATGGGGACAGGGGAGATAATGCCAGATTTAAACTTTTATTTTATTGTTTTGAAACAGTCTCACTATGTGTATAGTCCAGGTTGATCTTAAGCTCACTGTGTAACCCAGGCAGGCCTCCAACTTGCAGTGATCCTCTTGCCTCAGCTTCCTGAGTGCTGAGATTACAGGTGTGCATTACCATGCCCAGCAGTGACATTTTATGTTCAAAGTGAGTACTTTATTTAATTCATTTACTACATAGGTGATTGCTATTCGGTGAATACTCTTGGTGCTCTCTTGGCTGCCAGAATAATAGAACTGTTGTTTCCAGACTTATCCACACCTGCTTAGGTGTCTGCAGTTCCTGGAGCAGCCAGCAGATGGGGATCTTTTTTTAAAAATCATTTGATTTTTTTTTTTTTTTAATTTTAAAGAGAATAAAACCAAACAAAATAAAACAGAATAAAGCCAATCAAAACAAAACAAAGTGATACAGGACTTCAAAACAGGAATCAACAATGGCTACCATAGGGGCTGGGGATTTAGCTCAGCGGCATAAGTACCTACCTTGCAAGCAGGCAATCATGATTCGATCCCCGGTACCGATTTAAAAAAACAATGGCTACCATAATGCCACTTGTCATCTTAAAAATTACTGCGAGTGCCATCAGACCTAATAAAAACAAAAAAAAAAAATAGAGCAGAATGAAACCAATCAAAACAGAACATTGAAGAAACCAAAACAATAAGCTGGGCGTGGTGGCTCACGCCTGTAATCCCAGCACTCAGGAGGCTGAGGCAGGAGGATCATTGCAAGTTCGAGACTAGCCTAGGCTACAGAGTGAGCTCAAGGCCAGCCTGAACTACATAGAGACCCTGTCTCAAAAAAGATAAAAAAAACCAATAAAATGGAACAAAACGAGAGCAATGTTGGATTTCAAAAACAGGACAAAAAAAAAAAAGAAAATCTTCCATGTTTGCTATTTGCATGTGTTATCCTCTTACTGGGTGCTCAGAGTACCAGCCTTAGGCCTGCAAAGTCAATCATACAATGCAAACACTAAGATGTTTTGGTACCTCAGTTGCTATCAACTCTTCCTGTG